ATAGATGATGTGTAATAAGTATAGATATGGAAAAAAATCTCTTATTATTTTTAGGCTGTTCAAGCAGAGGAAACTAGAAGTGATAGAGATAATCATTTGCAAGAAGCAATGATACAAACTGAAACGGAAAATAATGAGGTATATATGTATAAATATAGTTCAAGAAATTTTGGAAATGTAGTACGCCGAAACTTTTAATCTCTTGNGCATCATTGAATATATTTTATTACAGTAAATAGTTCATTTTTAATAAAAAATTTNAATCAGAGTGGGCATCTACACCCAGATTTTGAATTTCAGCACGATGATATTACATTTCTTATTACTTAAAATAATGAAAAGTAAAATATATTATATAAAAATGATAATAGATTAATTTTATTTATTAGAAAATCTTAATTGACACTGCCGACGCTGAAAGGATACTGGATGTTCCAAATGATAACAACGAGGTTGACACTGCCGACGCTGAAAGGATACCGGATGTTCCAAATGACAAAAACGAGGAAACAGTTAAGGATGAGAAACGAAACAAAAGTTGAAGTTGTAAGTTTATAAAATATATTTTTGATTTTAGGAAGCAGTGATAAAACCAAAGGCGGATATATACGTTGAGGTTGAAGATCAAAAAAAATATTTTAAAAAACCGGACAAAGACATAAATTTAACTATGTTTTTCAAAATCCATCCGAAACAACNAATGGAGCAGATTCCTTTTAATCCCCTTAAAGCCTACTTTCGTAAAGCTCAAGATAATGAAAGTGAACAAATTAAAAGACAATGGCTAACTTATTCAAATGAATATTGTAAATTATTTTGTTCATTTTGCTTAGCTTTTAGTCAAGAAAATAATCGATTTACTTTCGGATGCGGAACTACAAAAATCGAAAATCCTTACGAACGCATTAGAGAACATGAACAGTCTTTAATTCATCATAGAAGCGCAGAGGCATATATGTTGTGGTCACAAAAATTGGAAGTTATTAGCTTACTTCAACATAAAAGAAATGAAGACATTAAAAAGAGAAGGTTAATTCTAGAAANGATTATTGATACAATAAAGTTAATAGGAAAACGAGGATTAAGCTGTAGGCGTGCAAAAGATGTAGAAGCAGCATATACTTTAAAAAATTCAAATTTAGATCATGGAAACTTTCTGGAAATTATATTACTTTTGGCAAAATATGATCCGTTTTTACAAAAGCATGTAGATGAATGCGTCGCGTCAAGTTCAAAATTAAACAAAGATAACTCAGGTCCTGGTAGACCTGGTAGTTTTGTAACATTTTTATCAAAACCAACAATAAATTACATAATAGAATCAATTTCAAAACTAATGAAGGCACGTATAGCACAAGAAGTAAAAAACGCAGGAATGTTTAGTATTCAAATTGATAGCACGCAGGACATTAATGTGCATGATCAGTTGTGTGTTATTTTGCGTTATGTGGCAGATAAAGTAAATGAGCGTGTAATAGCTGTGGAAAACTGTAAATCCGGAACAGGAAACAATCTAGCAAATCTTGTTAGCCACTTATTAGATGAAAATGGAATTGATATAGAAAAATGTATTGGGAGTTCTACTGACGGTGCGGCTAACATGCGCGGACAATATAATGGATTTTCTGCATGGCTCACTACAACTATTCCTGAACAAACTCATGTTTGGTGTTATGCTCATGTCCTTAATCTTGTGATGTCTGACGCAACGACAGTATGTACTGAAGCTGTTAATTTATTTAAAGTCATGAATTCTTGTGTGACGGGACGAGTCCCGTCACTTGTAAATAGTGTACATATTTTTATAATTTTGATACTTTTTCTGTTTATAAATAATGTATATATTGTTATTTTGATCTTTCTTTGCGTTCATCAAATAAAATAGATGTATAGTATAACACACACGCCTGCCATAGTTCCGTCAATCTTCCTATAAAAATCATATACCGACGGGGTAACCGATAGTTAAGAGCGCGGAACTATAGGATAAAAGCGCACGTGTACAGAAGAAGACCTGTGCCGGTGCGACACGGCACAGGTGCGTGACACG